GACGGCTTGCGTTAAAAAATAATAATACACATATTTGTAAAGTGGGGGGACACAAACGGGATTTCGAAAAGTGCGGGGGACATGTCCCCCCTGTACCCAGTGGAAATTACGCTATGCGTGTGTGTGCGTCAAGTGCAATAAATATATATGCAAGTTGCAACACACAGAGTAAATCTCTGCCCCTCATGTGCTGTGTAGGCTGGCACGACTAGGCTGTTCAATGGGGCTGATGTGTTATGTAGATTCTGCCAGAAGGAAAATCAGCAGGGAGGTACCACATTGCTTTTCTTCCCGACTGCAACGCTGGTCCCGCAGATCAAGCAAGAACGTGATTGGTCGATATTCATTGTGGGGGTGGGGGAGGAGGGGTGTTAGATAGATATAGAGTTATATTAAGTAGATAGAGTTCGCTATGATTTAGGTTTCATTTATGCATAGAGTAGATTCTTTTAATTACATTTCCTTTTTTGTTTTGTGTATTTTATACATGGACTTGCTTGGCGAGCTATTTTTAGAACATGCCCCGCGGGCGACTCACGTTGCCCCTGCGGGCGACTAAGTGCCCGCGGGCACCGTGTTGGCTACCCCTGCTCTACATGAAAGACTCGCTGGAATACTTTCATTTTTATATATATTTTAAAAGTGCGTAATGGAAGGAAAAAGGTAAAAAGACACAGAGAACAGGAGGTCACAGAAGTAGACACACAGGATGTCACTATAGAGAACATGGTATGGGCTCTGGCGGTGATTAAAGATGGAGCACAACATCTTTATCAATGCTGCCATCACTTTAGGATAAGTTGAAAAATAGGAATATTGTGTTTCCGCGCATTGGTTGCCTAACTCATAATTTCTCTAGATGGTAGGTGATTTTAGGTAAAGACATCACTTTAGAAAGCTCACCCAGAGCCTTCAGGAGCGCGTGCAGCACGGAGCAGAAGAGAGCAGCTGTGTGCTGGTAGCTGAGATCCAGAGCCATCAGCACGTCCTGGACGATGTCCCCGACCAGAGGCAGCAGGCTGCAGTCAGAGTGAGTCAGCATCACCGTCAGCACCCGGGGAGCCTGGTCACCAACACACAGATATGATGAAACACACAGCTGCCAGCAAACTTATAGAGACTTACTAACAGTGTTCAGAACAGAGGTGTGGACTCGTGACTTGGACTAGAGTCAAACTTGTGTCGTGAATATGATGAAATATGTCTCAAAATGTACTTTACTTAATACAGCTGACTTGTGACCTCATGTGACTAAATGATTACGGTTATTATTCTGGCCGCACCAGGGAGATTTCTGATGCTCATATTATGAAATTTGTCATTTTCACTGTTTATGGTATAAATGTATTATATTTTTAAATATTTAGACACTACACCTATTGCACGTCTCTCCGTCCTGAGAGAGCTACCTCTGCTCTGTTGCTCTCCACTTCCATTTTTTTCTCCATTAATTGTGCAGTTTCTTTGGGAGTGTTTTCTTGTGCGCTTCAAGGGTTTAAGGTGTCATATATATTATACACTGTAAAGACCCCTGAGACAAATATGTCATTTGTGATAATAGGGTATATGGATAATATTTGATTGATTGATTTGACTTGGAATGTTTAGTTTAGGACTCAAAACACACAATAGAGGATTTTTACTTGGTAACTTTAACTTACCTTGGACTAAGTTCTGGCTCTTATAGTTATAGTAGACTTGTGTGTGTGCCATATTCATTCATTCATTCATCATCTGTTAGTACCCCATAACAAATATAAACCGCTACTGCTATTCCTGTGGGTTGACTGTGAACTGATCATGATCTACAAAAACTTGATCTCCAAGATCTCTAAATAATTGATCAAATGATTGATCAAGTCATTCATCCAGCAAAACAATTATATTATTCTTATTTTCGTGTTTTTGACTTTTGGATGGACGAAGCAATGTTAAGATATCATTTTTTATAGCATTTTTGTACATTCTATCGACGACATAATTTTTTAAAGAACTGCAAACAGATATATACATTCTTAATTGCCGCCTTATTAATTTGCACAACCATTTATCCTCAGGTAATGTTAAAATATAAATATGTATAAAAACTATAACATCAACAAAAGACCATAACAATTACCCTCAACCTTCTTTATTTATTTTTGTCGCTTTTTGTCTCTTGCTCCTGTGCGTTGAGCAGCATGCTGAACGTGTTACCTGTGGATGCTGGCTGAGCCTATGCAGGTTCAGTGAGATGTCGTTGAACAGGTAGTCGCAGTTCTCAGTGATCAGCTCCTTCAGGGAGTGGTACCCGCAGGCCTTACTGATGTCCCACATAGAGCCCAGCGCCGCCTGGCTCACCAGCAGCGTCTCCTCTCCGGCCTTCTCCAGTACTGGGTACAGTGATGTCATCAAAAGAGGCCGAAAGTCCCGCCCCAGTGCCTGAGCGAAGCAGGCGATGCCTTCCAGTTGGATACACAGCTGCCAGATGTTGCTGTTGAGCTGGTGGAGGGCGGAGGTTGATGGCGAGGAAGACTGCGAGCCGAAGGATGAAGAAATCTCTTGGATGGAGTTTGTCTGAGTGTGGCCGCCGACGTTACTGTTGGATATGGAGAGGAGGCTGGAGGGGCTGAGCAGCTACAGAGAGATAACAAAGAAAGGTCAGTGTCATGCATCATAATGTTATTTTTTCAATAGTGTTTCAATTTGTAAATAAAAAGGTCAATATAAAAATGATAAGTTTACATTTACATTCTAATTCTGCTAAGGATCTTAAAGGTACGCTGTGGAGTTTTTTTTATCAGAAGTTGAGCAAAGTGAGTCCTCGTTGACAATTTTTGCCAGCTAGCAAACATTAACGCAAACATAATAGGTTTCAAACTTCTTTTTTTTTACTTTTATGAGAAAGCAAATGTTCTCCATATGTTAGCCTCCATGTGGTTTACAAAAATATTGTAAAGGACACCTATCATTTTACAGGAATAGTATACAGGGCACCTTTCATTTTTTATTTTCCAAAAGAAACCTCTACATGGTACCTTTACTTAAAAGAAAACTCTACAAGGTACCTTTAATTTGACAAATAAAACATGTTACGTTCATTTCAAAAACATGCATAGCCGAGTCAAATTAATATCACCACATTCAAACATTAAAAACAATACGTTACAATAATGCATTTACACTAACGGCTGTTCAAACCTCCAATCAATAAAAGCCTATTTCTTTGACTTTAAACATCAGTCATTGGTAACTAGCTGTTATTATGATTTATCATTACACAGCTAACTGCCTGTATTTTCTACCATGTTCATCTATTCTTCTTTCCTTTAACTTTGACTAAAGGAAGGACCCCACAGCCGTCTCTCAGTGAACAAACCCCCCCTCTCACTGGTGTATATTTCTGTCCTTGGAATACTTTTGAAGTTGATGCCTCTGGGCTAACACTTTAGCTGACAAAGAGAAACTGCAAGTTTATCGACAAACTAGCACAGTACTGATAATGTTTTCAGGGCCTGAAATATATTTCTCTACCTGTCAAATCAATAATCCAGCCCTGAAGGTTGAGAGCAGAAACCTGGGAAACCTGCTCAGAGTGTTCAGGCATAAAAGCACTCAGCGCTCAGTCCAAGGACAGACTGTGAGCGTGAATATCTTCCTTTGTTTGGAGCAAATTGATCTGACCATGATCGCAATTTAAATGCAGAAGGAGTTGTGCAATATGGGCTGAGCATGGGAGTCTAATATCACACTTGATTATAAAGTGTTCACAGAATACAAAATGAGATCAATGAAATTAAAAGTCAGGGTGCTTCAGAATATCATTCCACCAAGAGCGGGATCATCCATTACACATGATGATTATTCCCAGAGAGATAGCTGATCAGTGAATTTAAGATGGTGATGATGATGCAATATTCAAAGCCCAAAGGACGATACATTGCAACCACCCCCATTTTACCATTTAAAGGACTTTAAACTGCCCTTTTTTGCTTTGGAGAGTTTTCCCTTTCCTTTAAGTGTGTTACTAATGTTTGCGTACATATTTATGTAACACACTACAGAGTTTCTCTCCCACACACTCCCCCAATGCCTGAAACGCCTCCATTGGACTCCTTTGTTTATATTATACATGATAGTCTAAGAGACAGGACATCTATAAGCGGTTGACCAATCACAACAGGGCCGGCCAGCTAACCAATCAGAGCAGACTGGGCTCTGGTTTCAGACAGAGGGTGAGAAGAGATACTGCAGCACAGGCAGTATGAGAAAAACAAAGAGCTTTTTGAACATTAAAGCATGGAGACATGTCACAGTAGAGACAGAAAATACAAATTCTAATAATTGTTCAAATCCAAAGAAAGTGAAATTGTGACTTCAGGACAAAGTATCGACACTGCAGGTCTGAAACTCTCCTCGGTCCTTCCTTCATGCAGCGGTCAGACTATGTAACCACCACAGCCCCTGGTAGACCCCCACACACACAACAACAAAGACTATGCTATAACACCCCTTGTTGAGAAATACAAATGTGTATATATATATATATATATATATATATATATATATATATATACACATACAGGTATATGTATTGCACAGTTATTAACGGCATATATATATGCCGTTAATAACTGTACAATACATTTACCTATGGGCTCTATTCTGAGCCCATATATACCTGGCTGCTTTATCTTCAAAACTGTTACAGGATGTGTATTTTGCAAATAGTGTATTTTTTTTAAATGGGTATCTTTAATATTTTTTGAATGCATGCTTCTTAGCTAATATTAAGCTGTCTTTGGCTCTTTTCTGCTGTAACAAATGCACATTTCCCCTGAAAAAAGGTATTCAGATTCTGACCTGCTGGTCCTGTCGGTCTCTTTCCGTCTCCTCGCTGACGGTGATCAGGTGCCAGTTGTTCAGACTGGTGTACTCCTCCATGATGGACACCACTGCCACTTTAATGTCGTCCTTGGTGACAGACTTTCCCCATACTTGACTCTCCAAACCCTGAGCTTCTGTTGCCACGCTGATTCCTGCTGCGCCCCTGACGATCTCATTCAGCACGATGGCAGCCTGCTTCCTGTACGATGAGGACTGCTGGTACAGATCCAGGAAGTGATCTGTCAGCAGGTAAATGTTGCCGTAGTAACCTTAAGATAAAAAGAGGGATAAGATGCAAAATTATAAGAAGTTTTATGATTTTTCTACAGTCTCTTCCTATAAATATCAAAGAGCGCTCATACCTAATGTTCTACAGATCTCCATGAGCAGAGAGAAGATCTTCTCATCTGTGAAGTAGAGAAAATGCCTTCTCTGTATGCGAGCGGCGTAGGAATTATAAGAGTCTGAGCTGGTCTCTATGGTAGCAGCGTAACTCCTTTCCTCCACGATGCGAACATCCACCACATCCAGCTCCAGCACCTGCAAAGCACAGAGTGTTTGTTGTGTTTTTAACAAAAGGGTTACATCTCTATACTGTGGTTTGAGTTTTCTTTCATTATAAAATAAGGACAGAAACAATAAAAGCAGGCAAAGTCAGACTCAGGGAGGGCCCTCATATGAAACTAGTTGTTGTTTGAGTGGGATGACATTATTCCGTTTTTTATTGTTAAAGTGGTGTGTTTTTATTGTGTTTATTAATATATAGATTTTTTATTAATGAAAAAAGTATTTAAACTAATCAAATATTGTATTTCTGAGATATATTGTATTTATGATTATATAATAAGCTATTTACATTACGTGTTTGTTTTTTGTAAATACATGAAAGGACTGCAATCACAATCTACATTATATTGATACCTTTGCAAATATAGAACGGAATTTTCTAAAAACAAGACAAAAGTAAACTGTGATGTGGGTTAGGTTTAAATAAAAAAATAAAAAAATGATAACAATTATTTTATAGTGACACGAGAATCCAAATACTTTCTTACTTGAAAGTACCAATATATGTCATAAATAACAATGAGAATATCGTATGCTTCAGTATTATAAGGGTTAACAATGACATCATAATGACACTTGGTAATGAAGATGAAGATATCAGCTGTGACTCTGGTTCAGTGACGACACGAGATCTTTAACTTCCTTTAATCAGTGTGTATAATTGTATTTGATAATCAATTAGCTGGATTTACTCAACCTAATCGGATATACAACAGTCATGAAGACATGTATTATTCTGATTCCCATTCAAACAGAATATGAAGTGTAATCTGACAGGTTACCTGCATCAAGGCTTTGGAAATCCTCTGGAGATGCGCTGCAGAGTTCAGCACCACGGAGACCTGCGAGCCCAGGACCTTTAAATAACCCAGAAACACGTTGAGGATAAACAGCTTCTTCTGGTCGTCAGAGGTCCTCATCAGTCTGGGGAGGGAGGTGGCCAAAGAGTGGAGGTTCTCTGAGAGGATGCCAGTGAAGGTCTGAGCACTGCTGCTGTTCGTAGCACTGCTGCGGCTCTGGTTCCTCTGGGAGACCTCTCTGAGAACAACCTCACACCTACAGGAGAGGACAAGTTTCATTCAACATGTTTTATCAAGTAGTCTGAGTACCAACTGCTTTTTTTACGAGATGGTGTTAGATCCAAATGCTGTTGGTGAGATTATTGTTAAAGTTTTTTTTCACTTAAGGATAATTTCTTTGGATACAATTTCCCAGATTTGCTACAGTTTTTAAACGTTTTTCTCACTACATTCATCAGAATAGCATTCTTTCAAGGAGGTCTATTAAAATAATGTATTCATGCTGTCCTATTCATACCTTATTGTTAACAAAGTTGAAAGAACTTTATTTCAAATAATAGATATTACCCGGCCGATCACTACACGCAGAATTTAACAAAGACATTAACGCAAACAGTTCTTTCTGGGATGAACTTTTAGAAAGTGTTTTGCAGATTTATTATCGATCATTTTTCTTTTTTTGAGAAGAAATGTGGTGTTAAGAAGATAGGATGTTTTTTCATAATACATTTAAGAATGATGTTTTGTTGATGTAACAATAAAAACAATACATTTTTGTTTTCCAGTAGGATATCAAGCATTATGTGAAACTACTTCTAATTAGATCAACATAAAGGCTTTCAAGAAACTATACTGTATATATCTGTTTTATAATTAATGTGTCTACTGTAATATACCTCAGGATTTTTTGTTATTGTCCATTTTAGTTATTTTCCTTTATCGCATTATGTAATGTATTTATCTTTGTATGCCTTAAAGGTGGGGTAGGTAATTTTGGAGAAACCAGCTCGAGTGCGCTAGAATTTGAAAATACACAGCCGGAAAAAATCTGCCACTTCCTTACAGAGCCCCTCCTCCAACACACACGAACGCGAACATGACCAATGAGGGCACGAGATAAGTTTGTGCACAGATGGAAGGCTGACAGGCAGGTAGGCCATCCAGTTATTTTAGCCGGGTCGGCTCAGATGATTGGTCGTGCT